TCATCCCCACAGGGGAGCATGGCAGGCTGAAGCTGGAGGGGCGGAGCTCCATGGCTTACAGCAACAGCCACATAGGCCATCTTCTCCTGGATGGGCACATTATGGCATTTCTGCAGCTTCCTCAGGAGCCTCCAGAGAATCCAGGTTGTGCTGGGCAGCTCCACCTTCAGAGTTCTCCAAAACTCAGCCAGATACCTAGAAATCTCAGAGTAAGAGGGTTCATCAGGAGAACGGATTATCATAGGCCCACCATGACTACAACCCTCTCAGAGTCTGTCTGGAATCCAATCTATCAGAGGTTTCCCTGTTTAACTTCAGGGTAGCAAAAAACTTACTGTCTGGTTTCATAACTGCAACCCTCCCAGGTTTTATAGACTCACGTTCCCAATGCCACAAACTGGTCCTAACTTACATTTTCAGTCTCACAACATCCCTATCGCATACTCTGCTCCAGCTACCCAAGACCATTCACTATTGCCAAACAAACAATGAACTTTGAAAACTCTATATCTTTGCTTAGGTCATTTCCTTAAACTGGAAGGCCCTTGCCAACTTCTTGGCCCATCAAAATCCTTCCAGGTCCAGCTCCAGTGTCATTTCTTTTGTGAAGCCATTGCTGCTGCTTCACCATGTTGCTCATGAGAGTTCACATGACACTTTAGAAACTTCTTCTTTATAGAAGGTTGCCTCAATCTTAGACATGCTATTGTCAGTTCTCTGTGTGTGTGTGTCCATTTGTTCCCTCTGAAGGCAGGGGTTATGTCTGGCTTTTCTTCTATGAACCCCTCTGGGCCTAGCACAATGCCAGGCTAACAGAAGACATTCAAAGCCATACTTATCCAATTTACTATATGAGCCTTGAATTTTGGCTAAGGTCAAGCTCTGAAATAAAGCTTTGATCCTCCTTAGAAGATATCCCTTCTTAAAGAAAGTCTGTAATAACTTCTCTTCTACCATGGACTCAAAGGTAGGGCCTGGGAGTTATAGAAATATCGTGGAGGAACATTAATGGGGGGTCTTGGGAGTGGGGAGATTGAGAGTTACGCTTGTAATCCATCCTTTTATTTTCAGAACCTACCTAGGTATCTTTGTGTGCTAGAGTCAGTGTTGTTCTAATGTGTGGTCTTCCAACTATCTGCATCAGAATCACTCTAAAAATTGAGAGGCTTAAAGACTATTCCAACATTTCACCCCTTACTCTGGTAATTCTAACCTGAGAATAAAAACAGAGTAAGTTTCTAGAGGACGCCTAAAGGGAAGGCCAGAAAGGCAAGGTGAGATGCTGAAAAGACTCATGGCTGGGGAAATAGATTGTAGAATATGAACCTTCATTCCTGGGATGAAGTTAAGAAATTCCTGTATTTACTTACCTTTCTTTTTTTCTCTGTATTGCTGAGGGAGTAAATGAAATACTTTGAGAAGCTATTTATTGTGAAAGAAGTGTTTTAAAATGCTTTTGGTTCTGCACATTTGTAAGTGGGCTAGGAGTGAATTTGTATTAGGAAAACACATACATTTGGCCTGTAAGCCTTCACAAATTTTAGTGTGAAAAAAATCAGCCAGAGAATTTGTTAAAAATATAAAACAAGTCTCACTTCCAGTGATAACTGATTCTGTAGATATGACATGGCTTTTGTTTGCCCATCATTTGGGAAAGAGCATTTATTAAACTGGCCCATCCCTTCCTGGCATGTATTTTTGCTATTCTTTGTCTAGAATGCCTCTTCCACTCCCTCATCCCACCTTCTACTTGGCTAATTTACATTAAAAACTCAGCTTGGGGCAGACATACTTTCAGAAATCCTTCCCCAGTCCTTCATCTCATTAAGCCTCCTCCGAGGGTCTTCCCCAGAACTCTCTTATTTTGCTCTGGCACCCTCTGCTGTTCGTCTCTGTCTGCTACCAGACCGCATGCTGCTTGAGGGCAGGGTCCCTGTGTCCTGTCCATTATTTTTCCGGTGCCTAACAGTACCTTCTACATAGTAGGTGCTTTGAACAGACTCCTAAGAGCAATCACCCGGATGTATACGCAAATGAACGAAAGAACGTCAGGTAAATGACCAAAACTATCATCAGAATGAAGCTTCCTAAGTCACTTCCATTCCTAACAGATGCCATGTTCTCATACGATCTAAAGCAGTAGTTCTCAAAGTCCTCCATGAGCTAGAACAAACACCGACAATAAAGTAATGCTAAAATTACACTTCAAATAACTAGCTATATTTAACATTTGGTACTAAATCACATATTTTAGACAAGAATCTAGTGTAGCTAAGCTGAAGCAAGTAGTAAAGATTTAAGAGCAATGTATTTGAGAAATACACAAAAGAGAGTATTTTTTAAAAGATTTATATTAACTCACTTTTTTTCTCTGGATGGATAAAAGTCCTCCTTTATTTGATTTAGTGGTACAATATGTAAGTTCAACTGATAAGAAACATCAGCACGACCCCAAGACATTATGTGAGAACCATACACTGAAAGTGGTTTTCCAACAGTTTAAAGCTGAGAAATCTTTTCCTCAAATACAAGTAATTACTAAGAATCACAATATATAAAGCGGATACAAGAGGTGCTGCTCTGGTTAAAATGAGGAGGGG